GTTTTTTGGTCGGTCGTGGGGCTTGAACTCTGGGCTGGGCACTGTCCCTGAGCTCTACCACTTGAGCCACAGCACCACTTCTGGTTTTGTTTTGTTTTCCTGGTAGCTAATTGGAGATAAGAGTCTCACGAACTTCACGAACTTTACTGCCCAGGCTGGCTTTAAACCGTGGTCCTCAGATCTCAGCCTCCTGAGTAACTAGGTTTACAGGCATGAGCCACCAGCGCCCAGCTAGTAGCTCTGTTTCTGTTTTGTTTTGTTGGTTGTGGGGCTTGAACTCAGGGTCCGGGAGCTGTCCCTGAGCTTTTTCACTACAGGCTAGTGCTCTACCACTTTGAGGCACAGCTCCACTTCCAGTTTTCTGGTGATTCATTGGAGATAAGAGCCTCAGGGACTTTCTTGGCCTGGCTGGCTTTGAACCTCAATTCTCTGGTGTCAGCCTCCTGAATAGCTGGATTACATATGTGAGCCATCTGTGCCCAGCGAGCAGCTCTTTTTTTACCCTCAAGAAACAGAGGCAGGGGCTGGGAAGGTGGATCAGTGGTAGAGCACTTGCCTTGCATGCCTGAGGCTCTGGGTTTGATTCCTCAGCACCACATAAGCAAAAAGAAAAAAGCTGGAAATGGTGCTGTGGCTCAAGTGGTAGAGTGCTAGCCTTGAGCTGAAGAGCTGAGGGACAGTGCTCAGGCCCAGAATTCAGGCCCCACGACCGGACCCCCCCCCCCCCAAAAAAAGGAAGAAACAGAGGCATAGTCCAGTGACAGTGGATCACACCTGTCATCCTAGCTACTCAGGATGCTGAGATCTGAGGATCACAGTTCAAAACCAGCCCAAGTGAAAAAACTGTGAGACTCTATCTCAAATGAACCAACAAAAAGCTGGAAATAGGGTTCTGGCTCAAGTGGCAGAGTAGCAGTCTTGAGTAAAAAAGCTCAGGGAGGGCTGGGAAGGTGGCTCAGTGGTAGAGTGCTTGCTTTGCATGAGGGAGGCCCTGGGTTCGATTCCTCAGCACCACATAAGCAGAAAAAAGTGGAAGTGGTGCTGTGGCTCAAGTGGTAGAGCGCTAGCCTTGAGCTGAAGAGCTCAGGGACAGCGCCCAGGTCCAGAGTTTAGGCCCATGACCGACCAAAAAATAAAAATTTTTAAAAAAGCTCAGAGACAGTGCCCAGATCCTGAGTTCAAACCCTAGTACCAGCATAAAAATGGGGGTGCTGGTTACGTGTATAACACTAGCTAGTGGGCTGGGAAGGTGGCTCAGTGGTAGAGTGCTTGTCTCCCATGCTTGAGGCCCTGGGTTCGATTCCTTAGCACCATATAAGTAGAAAAAGAAAAAGAAGTGGTGCTGTGGCTCAAGTGGTAGACCACTAGCCTTGAGCTGAAGAGCTGAGGGACAGTGCCCAGGCCCAGAGTTCAGGCCCCACAACCACCACCATCACAAAATCCTAGCTACTCAGGAGGCTAAGATCTGAGGGCTAAAGTTCAAAGCCAGCCCAGACACCAACTTCTGTGAGACTCTTATCTCCAATAAACCACCAGAAAAACGGAAGTGGCGCTGTGGCTCAAGTGGCAGAGCATTTGCCTTGAGCTGAAGAGCTCAAAAACAGTGCCCAGGCCCAGAGTTCAAGACCCACGACTGAAAACAAACAAACAAAAAATCCAGGGGTGGGGGGTGAGGAGATAGTCCACACCTCTTAGCGGTGATGGCATTGCTCATGTGTTTAGATTAGTCCTCTAACAACTGTCCAACAGAAACTACACTGAACATGTACCATGTTTGTTCACTGCTATTCACACCCATCTCCTCACCCTGCCCGCTTCCACCTCCTACAGGAAGCCCACCCAGTTTGCACTGCTTCCTTTCCCTGATATCCTCCATCTGGCCAGACAGGAGGATTCCCCAGTCTGCTGTGGGGCCCGCCGGAGTTCCCTTGCTCCAGGGCTCCGAGGCACAGTGCCAAGCGTCCAGACACACAAGCTGGCATGGGCCCCATTCCTGGGGAGAACAGATGGTGCCTTTAAGTGTATTTGGCTCTTTTGGGGTGTCTGGAGGATGATGTGAGCAAGCAGGGTAACCCATTGGAGGGAGGCACTGACAGTGGCTCGGAGGGGACCCCGTTATTCAGCAGCTCCGTGCCCTTGCTCTGTCTTTGTAGCATAGTGAGACACATGACCCATTGCTTCTGAGTCTTCCCATCAGAGTTGGCGCCAACAAATTGGGATTAGTTCAGTTGCTGTGTGCCTCAGGGCCTAGAACAGTGCCTGGCACAGAGGGACCTTCTTTACATGTTTGTGAGATGAGGTATGCGTTCCTACCAGCCTGTTTTTCACCAGATCACCGAGCGCCAGTTGTTTCCCCCTCCCTCCCCCCCATCATCCTCTGCTACTGTAAAGATGAATTTGAATCCAGTTAGAATCCTCCAGCCATCACCGTCCTTGTGTACACTCTCCGACCCAGCCTTTTCCGGGAGTCAGGGCAGCCAGGCTTTTTAGCCTGGGATGGAATGTTAAACACCAGATTCCACCCAGCCAGGATCCTCTGAGGAGGCCCCAGGCATGTGGTGCCTTCCTGTGGACTAGTTGTATGTCACATACCGTCCATATCCTCTTAACCAGCCCCTCAGATGCCCTGAAAAGGACAAAGATCATGTTGGTGACTTTCCTGCAGAAAATGCATTACTCACACCCAATGATAAATTAAAAAAAAAAAAAAAAGATAAGGCCAACAAAAGAGACTCTAGAGCTATGTACCAGCCCTCATGCCTATAATCCTAGTTACTCAGTAGACTGAGGTCTGAGGATCGTGGTTTGAAGCCAGCCCAGGCAAGAAAAGTCCATGAGACTCTTATCTCTAGTTAACCAGCAAAAAAAGTGGAAGCTACCACCCTGACTTCAAGCCCCAATACTGGCAGAGAAGAAGTCAGATGGGGAGGAGGATAAGGAAGAAAAACAAGAGGGGGTATGGAAACGGAGAGGAGAAAGCTAGAAGCCGTACCTGTCATCACAACTACTGAGGAGGCTGAAGCAGGAGGATTTTGAGTTCAAGTCCAGCCAGAGTTGAGTTCAAGACCAGGCTGGCCTACATAGCAATAGTCTGCATCAAAGGAAAAAATGACAAAGAATTTCACAAACCAAACACTGAACCAAAGATTCCAGACATAAAACAAAGCCTATTGTATGATTTTGTTTGTATATCGTACCAAAAACTAGGCAAAACCACTTGCAAAGTGAGGGCAGTTGTTACCCTGGGACAGGTGGGGGCAGGAAAAGGCACAAAGGAGACCTTGGGGCTCTGCTCACTCCCTAGTGTTCTTTTCTGGTGCTGAGTTCTGGTTATCAAGTGTGTTTCTGGGTATGAAGTTGAATCAAGCTGTTCATTTATTTTTTGGTTGGTTGGTTGGTGGTTGTGAGGCCTGAACTCTGGGCCTGGTGGGTGCTGCACCTCAGCTCTTCAGCTCAAGGCTAGTGCTCTACCACTTGGGCCACAGTGCCACTTCTGTTTTTTTGGGGTTTTTTTTGTCTGCTTATGTGGTGCTGAGGAATCAAACCCAGGGCTTCATGCATGCAAGGCAAGCACTCTACCACTAAGCCACTTTCCCAGGCCCTGTCCATTTATTCTTGTGCTGTTTTCTGTGTGTTGTATTATGCTTCCCAAAAATTGTTTCTGTAAAAGACTGAGTTATATCTTCATATTCTGACATGGAGAAGTTTCCAAGCAAGGTGTAAAACTGTAGCACAGTTGCTAGAGAAAACAGTATGGTGGTTCCTCAAAAATTTTTTTTAAAAATAGATTTACCATATGGCCCAGCCATCCCATTTCTGGGGATATAAACAAAAGAACTAAAATTAAGGTCTCAAAAGAGCTGTTTAGCCAGGTGCTGGTGGCTCCTGCCTGTAAGCCTACCCTGGAGGCTGAGATCTGAGAATCCAGGTTCAAAGCCAACCCTGGCAGGTAAGTGGTGAGACTCTTCAATTAGCCACCAGAAACCCAGAAGTGAAGCTGTGGCTCAAAGTGGTGAGCACTAGCCTTGAATAGAAGAGCTCAGGGATAATGCCCAGGCCCTGAGTTCAAACCCCACTACCAACAACAATGAAAAAGGAGGGGATATATTCTCATGGTGCTGTTGTGGGCTAGGGAGCAACATTCAGCTGGATCAAAAGCACAGGAAAGGTACAGCTCTGAAATAAACTCAGACTTAGTACTGCTGTGCGCTCTCCTTTTCCTGGACGAAAGAACTAGAGATCAAGAGCTGGGCAAAGCCAGGGGACAAATTACTGGCAGAGCTCAGTCGTCAAAGACAGGACTTTCAGAACTAGGGGTATGTGTGGCCGAGTGGCAGGGCACTTACTTGCCTAGCCTTCATGAAACCCTGTATTCGATTCTTCCATTACTGGAACCAAACAAAAAGTCAGGTATAGTGGCGGAGGCCTGTAGTCCCAGCACTGGGGAGACTAAGACAGGAGAGCTGAGAGTTTGAGACCAGCCCAAGCTACAAAGGGAGACCCTATCTCAAAACAAAACAAAAATCTCCAACCAAAACACCCTAACACATCCCCAAACAAATCAACAGAAAATTAATACTGGGGGGGGGGGGGGGGGGGAGGCTCTGATAACATTAGTGAATCCCACGCCCCAATTTCTCCAGTGTCTGAATGAGCTGTACACTTTTTCTTTCCAATTATAAGACAGGAAAATGGACATATTATGCCTTGGTGCTAAATGGGAGATTTCCGCCGGTCGGGGAGCGGGGGGGGGGGGGGGGTGGTTAACGAGACACCGAATAGAGTTGCTTATTGGGTAAAGAAGACAATCTGGAGGAAACAGTTGGCGCTCAAACTTCCTCTGCCCAAGTCAAGATGGAGCTGCCAGGCCACGCCCCCCAATGACAGGAGGCTGGGCTGGGGCTAGAGGCGAAATGTCCATCACACCTTCGCCCCGCCCCACCGAGGGCAGCTAGAACCAATAATCTGTGTGCAGGGCGGGAGCAAAGCCAGAGGCGGGGCGTGCTGTTGCCCAGCAACAACCAGAGAACCCCAGACGAACGTGGCGGCGGAAGGGTCGCGTCTTAGATCTTTCCCTGCCAGGAAACAGAAAAGGTTCTGGGGGAGGCGCGAGCCTCACCTAGTCGCCATCCGCGGTGGAGACAGGTCAGGCCCATGAACGCCAACCCCGTCAGCCACCTTCGATTCTTCTAACCGTTAAGCGCAGTGAGGTATGAATAACGCATGCGCAGCGCTTGGAGGCGGAGCTAAAGCGAGCCTGCATCCAGTACGCATGCGCCTAGGGGAGTTTTTTTTTTGGGGGTCCTGCTGACGCAAGGGGCGGAGTTTACGGGGGCGGAGCCAGTGTCTCGTGGGGGCGGGGCTTTCTTCAAGAGTGATTTTCATTTTTCTTTTTTGGTGGGGGAGGGAAGGGAAGGGTGATGGACCTGGATGGCCCTGGGGCTTGAATTAAGGGCCTGAGTGCTATGTGTTGCTCCAGGTTAGTGCTGTACTTCTTGAGTCCACAGTTCCACGTTTAGTATTTTGCTGGTTAATTGCAGATAAGGTTCTCACGGACTTTCCTGCCTGGGCTGGTTTGGACTTGTGATCCTAAGATCTCAGCCTCCTGAGTAGCGAAGATTACAGGAGTGAGCCATTGGCGCCTGACTCAAGACTGATCTTTAAGAGGTCTTCTTAGTCCAGGGTGTCCTCCCTGTTTTCCTAGAAAGTTGATGAGGAGCTAAAACTACAGTAACAATGGGTTGACAAAACTAGCTTGGAATCCTAGTACTGCAGTTAATTTATGGACCTCAGTTTCCCAGTCTGTCAGATGAGAATAGTAATACACTTACCTCATAGGGTTGGACTGTATACATATACATATATATGTATTTATTTATTTATTTATTTATTCCCATCCAGGGACCATGGCAGAAGTACATGTAATTGGGCAGATCATGGGGGCCACTGGCTTCTCAGAAAGTAGCCTGTTCTGCAAGTGGGGCATCCACACAGGTACCTCATCTCCCAACCAAGAACCCACCATCCTCCCCACCAGTTTTCCTTGCCTTCTGGACAGCCTCCTGATCCTCCTGGCCCAGACTACAATCTGTCCCTTCTTCTTTTTTTTTTTTGGGGGGGCGGACTGGGCACTGTCCATGAGCTCTTCAGCTCAAGGCTAGTGCTCTACCACTTGAGCCACAGCTCCACTTTTGGTTTTCTGGTGTTTAATTGGAGATAAAAGTCTTACAGACGTTCCTGTCTGGGCTGGCTTTGAAGCGCAGTCCTCAGATCTCAGCCTTCTGAGTAGTTAGGATTCTAGGCATGAGCCACCAGCGCCTGACTACAAATAGGTCTTTAGCTATAGTGACATAGCCTGCCTGAAAACTGTCTCCCAACCCCCACCCTGTACCTGGTTCTCATTGCAGGGGCAGCCTGGAAGCTCCTGTCTGGGGTGCGTGAGGGCCAAACCCAGGTGGACACCCCCCAGATAGGGGACATGGCCTACTGGTCCCACCCCATTGATCTGCACTTTGCTACAAAAGGTCTCCAAGGTGGGTACCACAGCTGGGCTCTGGAGCAGCTAGGGCTGAGAAGCGTACGTCTTGTCCCTGCTCCCCAGACCTGCTCTATAGGAGCTCCCTGAGTGTATGAGATGGGACCAAGGCTGGGACGGAGGGAGGATGAAAGGTAGGGTACAGGATGAGAGGGAAGGTAGAGAGCGACAGTCCTAGAATCTCCAGTGAGTGAGGCTGGGGGTTGGAGGGGCTTAGGAGAGTTAGAGAGTGGGAAGGGGAGTATGGTAACAGTGCTGTGTACTTAGTAAAGGCTGTGCTAGGTACTAAGTGCCTGCCATGCCCACTCTGGGTTGTTGGATGCTAGGGAGATATCTGTGACCAATATATCTCCTGTGTATGTACATTCTACTCCAACCCCATCCTTCTGGGCCTCCATCCTTGTCTCCAGAGAAGGCCAGCCTAGACTGGGCAGAGCTAGGACTGGGGAATCTCAGAGGCCAAGTGAGCCCAGAAGAGGTGAGGCCCTCAGAGCTCCAAGGGCCTTGAGTTTGACTCCAAAGGACCAGGAGTTCATCGGGCCAAGGGAGGAGAGATGAAGGGAGAGTTTTCCAGTAGAGAGAGATTGCCTGTGGAAGTCTCAAGAGGGAGAGTGAATCAGGGCCTCTGGAGGACTGTGGGACAGCCAAAGACAGTGGGGGCAGCACACTGGGCCTTGGATGCTGGGGAGCCACAGCAGGCGTGGACACATCAGCTTCCCCCCCGCCCCCTGCTCAGTCTTGGGGCTTGAACTCTGCGCCTGAGTATTTTCCCTGAGCTCTTCAGCTCAATGCAAGCACTCTACCATTTGAACCATAATGCCACTTCTGGTTTTCTGGTGGTTCATTGGAGAGAAGAGTCTCTCCGACTTTTCCTGCCCGGGCTGGCTTTGAACCTCGATCCTCAGATCTCAGCCTCCTGAGTAGCTGGATTACAGGTGTGAGCCACCACAGCATCTGGCCCAACTTTTTTTTTTTGTCGGTCAGGGCCTTGAACTCTGGGCCTGGGCGCTGTCCCTGTGCTCTTCAGCTCAAGACGAGCGCTCTACCGCTTGAGCCACAGTACCACTTCCAGTTTTTAGTGGTTTATTGGAGATAAGAGTCTCCCAGAGTTTCCTGCCCAGGTTGGCTTTGAACCGTGATCCACAGATCTCAGCCTCCTGAGTAGCTAGGATTACAGGCGTGAGCCACCATCGCCCAGCTGTTTTTGTTTTTGTTTTTTTTTTTTTAATCTGTCCTTGAGCTGGGTGCTGCTGGCTCAATTCTAGCTATTCAGGAGGCTAAGATCTAAGGAAGACAGCCCTCCAAAAATAAAAGTGAGATAAAATTGATAGCTGTCCCTGGCTGCTGCGTGGGGTCAAGGCTGAGGCAGAGAATTCTGTACCTTTAGCTGGAGGTCCCTGGCACCCAGTGCTGGCGTCATCTTTTGTCTTAGCCCCCAGCCTGCCCATCAGGGAATCCTGTTTGCCTTAAAACTTTGTTTGAAACCCATCACTTTTGTTTTGTTTTGGTGTCAGCAGCGGGGCTTGAACTCTTCCTTACCTTTTTCTGCTCAAGGTTGGCATGATACTACCACTTAAGCCACAGCTCCACTTCTAGCTTTTTGGTAGCTCTGGATTGGCTTCAAAGCAGAATTCTCAGATCTCAGCCTCAGAGTAGCTAGGATTACAGGTGTGAGCCACTGGTTTAGCCAGGCTCAAACATATCTCGATTCCAGCTTCTCACCCCTTTCCACCAGTACCTGATCTGTTCATTTTCAGCTCTTACCTAGACTATTCCGTAGCATCATCCGTCTGGGTCTATGCCATTCACTTCCTTACCACCCACAGTCATGATCTGGCTGTCACCTCTGCCCCTTCTCACCTTCTGTCTCTGATCTAGAAGTAATGGCCCGTAGGTTCCCCGCTACCTTAGGACCTTTACACTGGCTGTTCCCTTTGGCTGGGATCTCTGTTCCCCTAAATGCCCACACATCCTAGTGTCTTCTGTCCTTTAAACATTTGTTCAAATGTCACCTTCTTAGGGAAGCTCTCTTGATCCCTCCTTTCCCAAGCTGTACCCTGCCCCCCACCCTAGCCAGCTTTATTTTTCCCCAGAGCAGCTATCACCATCTGACATACCCTGTAATTTGCTTATTTACTGTTGGTTGTCTCCAATGTCAGCTTGGAAGGGCAGGAATTCTTGTCTGCTGTGTTCACTGCTGAGTCCCCAGCTCCCAAAAACAGGGCCAAGCCCAGAGGAGGGTTCAGAACAGAGAAGGAGCTGTGCCAAATTTCAGCACTTTTTTTTTGTTGGTTTTAATGCCTGTCCTGGGCCTTGAACTCAGGGCCTGAGCATTGTTCCTTAGCTGTTCTTTTTCTTTTCCTTTTTTTTTTTGAATCTCAAGGCTGATGCTCTACCACTTTAGCCACAGCTCCAATTCTGGCCTTTTGCTGGTTTATTGGAGATAAGAGTCTCGCAGACTTTACTGCTTGGGCTGGCTTCAAACTGAGATCTTGGGAATAGCTGGGATTACAGATGTGAGCCACAGGGTGCCAGGTTTTCCCCAAGCACTTTTGACTGGCAGGCAAGGATCTAGGCTGTGTTAGCACACCTGTGGATGGAGCTAGATGTTTCCTGCTGCCCAGTGGTGGCAGACTGGATGGGGGAGAATGAAAGTCCTATGTCCAGCCAGGAGGACAAGGCTGGAGACAGGAAGAGGGCCTCGGGATCAGGGCCTAAGGCGCTGACCTGAGGACTGGAGGTGAAGAGGCCAGATGTGAAGGGCCTTGGCTATTTAGGAGGCTACGGATAATGCGAAGCCATGGATGTAAGCAGGAGAGTGATGGATTCTGAGCGTTGGGGTGGAGGAGAGAAATTGGGGGGACCACCCAGGAGCAGCAGGCTAACCTCCCCCCCATCCTCTCCCCTCCCCACCCTGTCCATCCTGCAGGCTGGCCCCGGCTCCATCTCCAGGTGTGGTCCCAGGACAGCTTCGGCCGCTGCCAGCTGGCAGGGTATGGCTTCTGCCACGTGCCCAGCAGCCCAGGCACCCACCGGCTGGAATGCCCCACATGGCGGCCCCTGGGCAGCTGGCGGGAGCAGCTGGCGCGGGCCTTCGTGGGCGGGGGCCCGCAGCTGGTGCACGCGGACACCATCTACAGCGGGGCGGACCGCTACCGCCTGCGCACGGCCGCGGCCGGCGCGGTGCACCTGGAGCTCGGCCTGCTGCTGCGCCACTTCGACCGCTACGGCGTCGAGTGCTGACGCCGGCCCGGTGCGGGGGGCTCCCGGGGCCGATCCCGGCAGCGCCCCGCCTCGGTCCCCGCCGATCGCACGATCGCCCAGGACACCTCAGGGCCGGAGGCTGGCGGGCTCGGGGTCGGGGAGCCGCGGTCGTGGGCGCAATAAACACGCGCGCGGTCTCCGAGGTACGGTGTCGTTCCCCCTCTCCCGTCCCGTCCCCCAGCCCTCCCCGCCCCTGGACAGACCCGGCGTCCCGGCCGGGTCCCCCGATCGCCGGGGCCGCGTCCCCGGGCCGCCCCCTCCCCGCCCCCCCGCTGGCCGGCGTTGACCCCGCGCCAACCCCCGCCGCGCCGGGCGCGCCCCGGCCGCCAGGAGGCAGCACCCCGCGGGCGGGGCGGGGCCGGGGCGCCCGCCCCCTCGGGGCCGCGGGGACCCCCTCGGAGCCCCCCGCACCCCCCCGGGGCCGCTCCCCGCCCCGCGCGCTTCCTGGGTGGGGCCGGGGCGGCTTCAAAACCCCCCGCCGCCGCCGCCGCCGCCGCCGCCGCCGGTCCCAGCCGCCGCCGCCCTTCGCGAGTCGGACCGGCTCCCTCCGCCTCCCGCCGCGGAGCCACCAGACAGCCAGGGCCCCCGGCCGGGGCGGAGGCGGGGGACGCCCCTCGGGGCACCCCCGGGCTCTGAGCCGCCCGCGGGGGCCGGCCTCCGCCCGGGAGCGGAGGAAGGAGCCCGGAGGCCGCAGCGCCGCCGCCGCCGCGGGGAGCGGGAGGAGGGGCGGGAGGAGGGACCGGCGGGCTGGGAGAAGACGAGAGAGAGAGAGAGAGAGAGAGAGAGAGAGAGAGAGAGAGAGAGAGAGAAGAAGTTTTGAGACTTTTCCGCTGCCGCTGGGAGCCGGAGACGCGCGGGGACCGCTTGGCACCGGGCTGCCTCCCACCCCGCCCCACCCCCGAGGACGCGGGACCTGGGGGCCCGGGGCGCCCCCCGATCACCGGCTCCGGCCCTGACCCCCGACACGGCGCTCCCCGGGCACCCCCGTTCCGGACACCAGCGCCCCCGGAGCCGCCAAGGCCGCCTCCCGCCAAGACTTCACCCCAGCCCCGGGGCGCACCCCCAGCACGCCGCCCGGAGCCCGGCACCCCGCACCTTGGGACCCTCGGCTCTCCCGGAGACCCGGCGGATCGACGTCAGACCTGCCGCCGCGCCCCCTTTCCAGACCACCCGCCCTCGGGCACCCGGCCTCGCCCCCAGCTCGCGGACCGAAACCCCGGGTCCCGACCTCCTCCGCGAGACCCCGGCGGCTTTCCTCCGAGTCGGGGATTCTCAGCTCGGCCCCGGGGGTCCCCGCCCAGCCCGCCGCGCCCCCGGCCGTGCCGTGGGGGCGCCGCCTCCTCCATGCCGCCCTCGGGGCTGCGGCTGCTGCCGCTGCTGCTGCTGCCGCTGCCGTGGCTCCTGGTGCTGACGCCGGGCCGGCCGGCCGCGGCACTGTCCACCTGCAAGACCATCGACATGGAGCTGGTGAAGCGGAAGCGCATCGAGGCCATCCGCGGCCAGATCTTGTCCAAGCTCCGGCTGGCCAGCCCGCCGAGCCCGGGGGACGCGCCGCCCGGCCCGCTGCCCGACGCCGTGCTCGCGCTCTACAACAGCACCCGCGACCGGGTGGCCGGCGAGGGCGCCGAGCCCGAGCCCGAGCCCGAGACGGACTACTACGCCAAGGAGGTCACGCGCGTGCTCATGCTGGACAGCCAGAACCGTGAGCACCCCGGGGGCCTGCGGGGGTCACCGGGAGGAAGCCACCGGCCCCGGGAGCCGGCTGGGGGCGCCGGGACGTGTGTGTGTGTGTGGACTGGGGGGGGGGGCAAAGCGGATGGCGCTGAACCCCAGCCCTTCAGGCGTCTGGCGATGGGGAGGAGATAATGGAGAAAGTCTAGAGCAGAGCAAAGGGTCGCGGGGCGGGGGGGGGACAGCCCCTCATTAGAAAAGCAGTGGGGGTGCATGAGTGGGGCAGGGCCCCCTCTTTGAGGTACGCTAGAGTGCCGGGTTCCTGAGGGTCCTCGGTAAGAGAGTGGGAGGGGAGCCTGGGGAAGCAAAGACCTAGCTGTTGATGGTTAAGAAAGAAAGAGAGCCTGACGCGGAGCTGGGATGGGGAAGACTGGGGAACTGGGGTGCAGTGTACCCCAGAAGTTCCAGGAAGAGCCCAGAGGGCGCCAGGAACACGTGGGGTGTGTGTGTGTGTGCCTGGAGGGGGGCGTCGCGGTTTGGGGTGGGGTTAGGTGATAAATATGGGAGGGCAGGCTAGCCAGGTCGTTAGGGCAGAGGTGCAGGAGGGACAGCTCCCAAAAGAGGGGGTACACGGAGAGGTATTGGGGTGCTGCGAGTAGAGGGCGCCCAGCCGGGAGGAAGCGAGCCCCCAGGACATCTCGAGCACTAGGGTTGGGAGAAAAGGGGGAGTCAGGCGTGGGAAAAGGGGGGATCCTGTGCCATCCAGGCCCAGCGGCCAGTGCCTGTCGCCCTGAAGAAGGGAGTGCCGCGTCAGGAGTGAGGCCCCGGGGCAAAACGTGGGGTGTGTGTGTGTGTGAGAGAGAACTCTGAAGAGGAAGCTGGGGGAAAAAAAACCCGAATTCGTAGGACCCCCCCACGTGGGTGCCACGCGCGAGGGCGGAGCCCGCGCTTCCGAGGAGAGGCTTGGAAGGACCCCCGCGGAGCAACCTGAACCCCCGAAGTCCCAGTTCCTCTTGGGGGGGGAGGCTGGGGAAACCCCAGCGCCCGGCGGCCTGGCCTTCCTCCCCTCCCTTTCCTTCCCGTGCCCCGAGGAGGCGGGGATCCCGCGTGCGGAGCCCGGGGCGAGACGGGGCAGGTCCGGCCCCGCCCTCGCCCAGCAGCGCCTTCCTCGCCGCCAGCCTCACCCAGCCAGGGCGGGGCTAGCGCGGGACCACGCCCCTGCGGCCCGGGGGCGGGGCCAACGCAGGACCACGCCCCTTCAGCACCCACTCTGGACCCCGCGTCTCTCAGTTCCTCCTAGTTTCACTTTCTCCCTTTGGGGTGTCATTCCGCACCCCACTTTGTGACTTCAAATGACAGCCCCACTTGCTTCCTTTTTTCGTTATACACATAGAACATGTAACTTTTTTTTTGGTCAGTTGTGAGGCTTTAACTCTGAGCCTGGGTGCTGTCCTTGAGCTCCTCAGTTCAAGGCAAGAGCTCTACCACTTGAGCCACAGTGCCACTTCTGGTTTTCTGGTGTTTCATTGGAGACAAAAGTCTCACAGACTTTCCTGCCCTGGCTGGCTTTGAACCGTGATCCTCAGATCTCAGCCTCCTGAGTAGCTAGGATTACAGGTGTGAGCCACGGGGGCTTGGCTCCGATCCTTTTTATTCCCTGCGACTTTTTCTATTTTTCCCCACTTGATTTTTCCTCTCAGTTGTCTCTCAGCTCATATGTGGATCTTCTGGTGTCTGCCTCCCCCCTCTCTGCCATCTTTATCCTCCCATCCTGCCTCCCTCATCCTAGTAGACCTCTTCCTCTACTGCACCCCAACCCTTCCTGGCCTCCCTTCTCTCCCTATCTGTCACCCCCAGCCAGGGCTTTCCTTTCCCTTCGAGTTTTCTGGATAACCACTGGACCCAGAATAGGTCTTAGGGGATGGTGTGGGAGGTGGTTAGGGGGAGGAGGGAAGGGGGACATGGGAGCTTCTGCCCTCCATCCTTCATCAGATTCCCTGCTACCTTCACACACACACACACACACACACACACACACCACACACACACACACACACACACACACACACACACACTTCAGGAGGCCCTAAACAACTACCACAGTTGATACTGGAGCTCAAGCCTGTCCCTTTATTTCTAACCTCAAGTTTTCCCTGGACTAGAAAAACAGTGTGTGTGTGTGTGTGTCTGTGTCTGTGTGTGTGTGTGTGTGTGTGTGTGTACACCCGTACTGGTACTGGAACTTGAGCTCAAGACCTGGGTACTGTCCCTGAGCTTTCTCACTCAAGTCTGACACTCTACCACTTGAGCCATGGCTCCACTTCTGGCTAATTTTTTTTGGTGGCTAATTGGAGAGAAGGGTCTGACAGACATTTCTGCCTAAGCTAGTTTTGGGCCTTGATCTCCAGATCTCAGCTTCCTGAATAGCTAGGATTACAGGCGAGAGCCATCAGCACCAACTAGCTGCAAGCCACGCCCTACTTCAGTTAGGAGAGCCCAGGTTCAGAGATGGGGGATATAGTGCCCAGCATCACACAGCTGAGAAGCTGAAGAGGTCCTAGAGAATACCAGTGCTGATGCTCTGCCCTGCCCTACCTTGCCCCTTTCTCTGCCATTTAATTTACATCAGAGGTGCTAAGCCCTGGAGAAGCTGGGAGTAGGCAGAAGAGCCTCCGTGGGGGACACATGATGTTTTCTGGGAGAGAAGAATGGGCAAAACTGCATTCTACAGAGGAAGAAACAATGCCAGATGCTGGTGGCTCACACCTGTCCTCCCAGCTACTCAGAAGGCTGAGATCTGAAGATGATAGTTTGAAGTCAGCCTAGGCAGGAAAGTCCTTCAGATTCGAATCTCCAACGAACCATCAAAAAGCCATAAGGGGAGGTATGGGTATGGTTCAAGTGGTAAAGTGGCAGCCTTGAGTGGAACAGTCAAGAGCTTAAGGCTATGAGTTCTAGCTGCAGTATTGGCGCACACACAGACACACACACATCTACATCTGGAGGAGAGAAGCCCCGCCCCCAAGGGCACGCCCTTCAGCTCCAGAATCCCTCCCCCCAGACATGAGGTGTGTCTTCTCTCTTCATCCCTGCCAACCTCTCGCTTTCTTCCTCTCTGTACTCCTCCTCTTAGAAATCTATCGAAATACTCAAAACGTCGGACACAGTGTATATATGTTCTTCAACACATCAGAACTTCGGGAAGCGGTGCCTGACCCCTTGTTGCTTTCCCGGGCAGAGCTGAGATTGCAGAGGCTCAAGTCAAGTGTGGAGCAGCATGTGGAACTCTACCAGGTGAAGCCAAGAGCCTGGGAGGTGTGGTATGGACCACTCAGCTCTGGCCATGGGGTTGCTGGCAGGCCGCAGGGTCTTCATAGGTATCTGGCCTACAAGGATAGAAGGGTGCAGACATTGAATCCTGGAGCTCTTTACAAC